CACATCAGGAGACTATAGATGCTGAAGAGGATGTGGAGAAACGGGAACCCTCTTGCACTGTTGGTGGGAATGCAAACTGGTGCAGCCACTGTGGCAAACAGTGTGGAGGTTCCTCAAAAAATTAAAAGTAGAACTACCCTATGACCCAGCAATAGCATTGCTAGGAATTTATCCAAGGGATACAGGAGTACTGAGGCATGGGGGCTCTTGTACCCCAATGTTTATAGCAGCACTTTCAACAATAGCCAAATTATGGAAAGAGCCTAAATGTCCATCAGCTGACGAATGGATAAAGAAGATGTGGTTTTTATATACAGTGGAATACTACTTGGCAATGAGAAAGAATGAAATCTGGCTATTTGCAGCAACATGGATGGAACTGGAGGGTATTACACTAAGTGAAAGAAGTCAGTCAGAGAAAGATACCTTATGTTTTCACTCATATGTGGATCCTGAGAAACTTAACAGAAGACCATGGGGGAAGGGAAGAGGAAAAAAAAAGTTACAGAGAGGGAGGGAAGCAAACCATAAGAGACTCTTGGATACTGAGAACAAACTGAGGGCTGATGGGAGTTGGGGGAGAAGGGAAAGTGGGTGATGGGCACTGAGGAGGCCACTTGTTGGGATGAGCACTGGGTGTTGTATGGAAACCAATTTGACAATAAATTTTAAATAATCCTTGCTCTTTCGGGCTTACTTTTCAGTGGTAGAGGTGGATTATAGTCAGGTAACATGTATCAGGTGAAAGTAACATGCTATGAAGAAACAGAAAACAGCAGTGTGTGAGGCAGGGAAGGGAGGAAAGCCCTCTGAGTTGGGGACAGTTGAGTGAATGCTGCATTAAAACAAGGGAGGGAGCTGTGCAAAGGGGTGTGGGACTAGTATTCTAGGTGGACCAGAGGGATAACAAGTTCAAAGACCTGGAGGTGGGAATGAGCTCAGTCTGTTTGAGGGGGTGAAACACCAGTGTTATCGGCACAACGTCAAGGGAGGAGGTGATGAAATCAACTTGGGGGAGAGATGAGAACTCTTAGGAGGTTCTGAGCAAATCAGTGACGTGCTCTGATCTGTTTTTCAGGTTGGAGTGGGACCTAGAGGCTATTCCAAAAGTCTAGGAGAGATGATGATGACCTGGATGAAAGGGAGTTGCAGTGGAGGGTGAAAATAGTTGGGGTCAAAGATCTATATCAAAGGTAGAGCTCAAAGGACCAGCTGATGCACTAGGTATGGGGTCTAAGAGAGCAAGGAGCCAGAGGACTCCTAGGTTTCTCCCTGACAACTCAGTGAATAGAGGTGCCAGGGCCACATATGGGAAAAAGAGGGGAGGGCTGCGGGGTGAGAGGAAAGTAGTTGTTTTGCTTTTGGACTACAAATGACTTACCTCTAAATAAGATTTGTTTACTAATTTAAAGATAAACACTATTGGACATGATTTGTGGGAAGTCTTCATGTTTAAAGTAATTTTAGAATCACTGCAAGATACAGATACTTTAACATATGCCCAATTTATATGGGCATTTATTTGGCCAATAAAGGTCCCAGGTTGTTGGACTGGCAGATTCCAGCCTGGAATCACTTGAAAGTTGTAAAAAAAAACATTCATTTACCCAAAGGCCAATTTCCAAGTTTCTTGATTTTGCCTGAAATTTTCTTTGCCTTAACACTGATTAGAAGTTATGTCTTTGGATTAACAAAAATGTAGGTGAATCAATTATTTAGTATTTGCTTAGTGGACAGTCTTTTAATCATGGGTCATGTGGGCCCAAGGGGAAGGAATTCTAGGGGGTCAAGTGTGAGAATCTTTCACATCCTCAGATCTGCAGAACTATTTAATCTTAAGTCTATTGCATGTCTTCTATCTCAGAACATTCCCACATACCTTTGTGTGGCTCGTAGTTGAGGGGACGAGACAGACTTGCTTTGAGATCAAATATTGGTTTCTTGTTGGAGACTGGAGTCTGTGCTGCTTCAGTTGTCAACTTGAATGGGGTAACAACTACAAAACCAAAGAACAACCCCCCAGGGCTTAATTAGAAAAAAGATCTATAAAGTTCTTTATTGAAGTACCACTTCTCAATATTAGGAATATCATCTATAGATCATCAGTTTGGTTAAAAAGGAAAAGGGGGAAAAAAGAATAACCAAGGAAAGCTAACCACTGAGATTTGCTTGTGACCAGCTCCCCAAATAGTCTCAATATTATGGTATTTCCTAGGGTCAGCTGGGTGTTGAAAATCCTGTTTAAAGAAGTGGGTAAATTTTCAACCTGTGTCCCTGATATTATTTATCCTTTAAAAATATTATACATTAGGGGTGCCTGGGTGGCTCAGTCGATTGAGCGTCCGACTTCGGTCGTGAGCTCGAGGTCTGTGAGTTTGAGCCCTGTGTCGGGCTCTGTGCTGATAGCTCAGAGCCTGGAGCCTGCTTTGGATTCTGTGTCTCGCTCTCTCTCTCTGCCCCTCCCCTGCTCATGCTCTGTCTCTGTCTCAAAAATAAATAAAACATGAAAAAAAAAATTAAAAATATTATACATTAGTAGTAACATTTTCTTTCACACAAATAGATATAAAGCCTGCAAGGAACCTTATCACATATAGATGAAAAGATCCGTGGCTCGGGTTGTTATTTAATAAAACTTATTAAAAGAAGTGAATTCTTTAAAAAAAAATTTTTTTTCTTTAACATTTATTTTTGAGATAGACAGAACGTGAGTGGGGGAGGGGCAGAGAGAGAGGGAGACACCGAATCCGAAGCAGGCTCCAGGCTCTGAGCTGTCAGCACAGAGCTGGACGCGGGGCTTGAACTCAGGAACTCTGAGATCATGACCTGAGTCAAAGTCAGACGCTCAACTGACTGAGCCACCCAGGCGCCTCAAAAATGTGAATTCTTGTACCATAAAGTTAATACACAAAGATGGTAGGACTCAGCCCAATTTGTACTAGAGTTGGGCACATTTTATAATTCTTTTCCATCACAGGCTGCACTTGGCTATTGTCCTATGTTAGCACTTGCGTGTATACATGAATAAGCCACCAGCGTCTAGGACCACTCAGTGAAATCCAAAAATCACAAAACCCCTGTGCTTAAGAGATCTCATTGTGTCACTATCAGGTGCCAGTGGTGGTGGGAAACACTGGGGCTGCCCACAATGCTGACGAGAGTTTAAATGGGTACAATTCAACCTGTACAGTAGCCATCTGCAACCCTGCTAACCAGCAGTCCATCCTAGGTCTACAGAAGCTCTTATATGTGTATGGGAGACACGGTTAATAAGAATGGTCCTAACGCTATACATAATAACAAAAGTTGGAAATATCCACATGTCCATGAGGAGTAAAACAGATACATTGAAATACATCCGTACCAGTGACGATGAATAAACTTTAGCTCATTTATCAATACGGATGGTTCTTGAACATTATGCTGAGTGAAAGAAGCAAATCACAGGGAAAAGAAATCATACAATTTTATTTCCTTTACATAAAACTCCTATCTGTTAGGGAAAAACTATCCCATCCTAACTGGGCACACCCCTGAATTACCATGAGGAGAAAGTTCTGAATATAGTAAACATTTAGTTTCTGCCTCATGTCCTTATCTGTGACCATTTCTGAGTCCTTTCTCATTACAAGGTAAGGGCTGCTACTCTGTGACCCCAGCTCTCTGTAAAATAACACAGTCGTATCTTAGCCAAGTCCACTCCATTTTTAGTACTGCCCTCTGCCCAGTCCCCTTTCTCCCATACTGTAAGATTTAGAATGTTATATGGACTGGTGCCTAGATGGCTCAGTCAGTTGAGCATCTGACTTCGGCTCAGGTCATGATTTTGTGGTTCATGAGCTCGAGCCCCACATCCGGCTTGCTGCTGGCAGCACAAAACTTGCTTTGGATCCTCTGTCCCCCTTTCTCTGCCCCTCCCACTATTGTGTGCTACCAAAAATAAACATTTAACAACAACAACAAAATATAATGTTATATGGAATGTCTACTTGCTGTAAATTAAAGGTTAGAATGGGAATTAGCTCATTTAAGGAGGAATCATAAACTTACTGTTCCCACCATTTTGGACCCTTTTAAAATATAGTCGTCAGTCTCATTATTCTATCTTTAAGGTATGACGAAATTCTCAACAGTCTCCACACTGATTATTATCGACACTGTACTCTCCTTTGGTCTGAAGCTCCAGCTGGATTGCTCTAGTCTTGGGCAAGCTGGCAACCCTTTCTATGTGATCAAGACTCTCTCTCCTGACACATTCAGTAGGACTCTCCGGAGAATCTTGACATACTTAATTCTAATACAAGCCTCAATCTGCTGGTGGGACTTTTTTAAACTTCATACCACTATTGCAGTATTCTTTTGAAAACCAACTGGTCAATGTAGGTACTAATTAAGTAGACTTTGTGTAGAAGAGTATCCATATGGCTTATTCTGGCTTACACAATCTACTGGTCCATAGTGCGGCATTTATTTCATGAACTCTGGAATCCTATTTCAGAGTCCCAGAGGACCAAAAGAGGCTGTAATGCATACTCTGATCCTCCTTCTCATCCCTGAGTTCGAGAAGGAGCTGAATGCTCTTCAGGGAGGGTTACCATCTTAGGACTCCTCCCAGACAGGATGGAGTCCTCAGGCAGTAATCACTTTTTTTGTTTGTTTATGTGTCTGGCATTTTCCTCACCAATATAAAATGAAAAATATGCTATGGTCAAATTTTTGCTTTTGATTTTATGGATATGGAGTAGCTTTAAGTAAACAGATATAATACTTAATTTCAGGAAGTTACATGCTTAAAGATGAACCAGAGTTTTTGTTCTGTTTTACCAGAAGCAGAATTCCCCTTTGTGGTCTTCAGCTTGCATGTCTGAAGCACAGCCTGGCCTTTTGGGGTACTCCCAGACATAGTCACATGCGGAGACTTCCTGGCTGGAGTCTTGGTCAGTGACCGTTTATGCTCATTATCTTTGGTAGCAGCTGAAAACCTAAACAGGACAGTGGGGTACAAGACATTAGTGCTTATGTCAAGAGTAACTTGTATCAAACACACACCTGTCACCAAGTAGCAAAAGGACTCAATAAATATTTATGTGAATGAACCTCTTTTGCAGAGTAAACATTTTAAAACACTGATACTAAAGCAAATCATTTATCAACTTTTCTGGTAAAATATGGTTTTGTATTCTCTGCTCTCCTTGCCTTGACCAATACAGGACAAGGCAAAGCTCAAAGGAGCTGCCGGGGAGTTCAAGTTACAGTTTAGGAAGTACTTTCTCCTCCTGATGATGTCAAGTCAGAGGGAACAGGAGACTGCTATGCCAAATAAGTAACGGGAACAGATCTTACATCTTCCTAGAAGAATGCCATTTATTTGAAATGTACATAAGCCCATTGTCTACTCTTGGCAAATTGCCATAAAGACATTTCACTGTTTCTATGATGCAGTTTTTCTACATTTTAATGTCTGAACTTGGGATGTGTTTAATAATTTGTAACACATCATAGCTGGCAGTGATTTTTTCTTTTTTTTAACGTTTATTTTGAGAGGAAGAGAGCACAAGATGGGGAGAGGAAGAGAGAGAGGGTGATAGAGAATATCAAGCAAGCTCCGCACCATCAGCACCGAGACCATTGTGGGGCTTGAACTCACAACCGTGAGATCACAACCTGAGCTAAGAACAAGAGTTGGACACTCAACCAACTGAGCCACCCAGGTGCCCTGGCAGTGATTTTTTTTAGTGGTCCCTATGATAATGGTGAATCTCTGGTTGATGGGGTCCTTAGATTCAGTGAAATTCAGAAAGGACAGACATTAATATACATGGTGGTGATGGTAGAATTAACAGATGAGAACTTCTGGACTTCTACTAAAGATGTAGCGGTAATCCTGAATCAACCCTCAAAATTATTACAAAACATTTTACAACACAGTTAAGAAAACTTAATGTTAGAAGTGCCGTGAAATCCAGGCTGCTCTGTATACTGCAGTGTAGCAACAATTTACCCCTGACCATGGTGTCCTTAAGTAGTATTAAATACAATCCAAACTGCCAACGATAGCTACCTCATATTCCAAGCTAACTCAATAAATAGAATTCTAAATATCAGGGCATTTTTAAACTCTAAAAACTAC